TTTTTTTATTTTTCAAGTTCTTGCTTCTATAATAATATGATAAGGAGTATTTCTGGACACATACATCTTTGTGCACTTTCTTGCTTATTTCCTCTTATGCGAATTCTAGATGTGGAATTACTTGGTCAAATATTTTGTGCTTTTTTAAAGCTTTTGATACATACTGACACATATGTTTCTGCAATTGTATAGGATTGCCTTTTTCCTCTCTCTGTGATCATAAATATGAATGATTTTAAACAATGACTTTGTTGTTCTAGAAAGTTCAGTCTGAGGAAGCAGGAAATAGAGTAAAGGAAGCCACAGGGAGATAGGCTACCAGGTAGCTGAGCCTGCTTTCTGATGAGTAGACCCTCTCATCTTGCCCTTGTCTCAGTTTTGTTTTCCTAGTGTTTTTTGATGTCTAGCAGCATTCCCACTCTTCTACTTATAGAGTATGATGCTCTGTCCAGGATTTAATTGACTTCCTTGTCTTGTCTGCTGCTCTGTTTTCATTCCTCTAGAAGGAGCCTGTGAATGAGTCATTTCACATCAGGCTCTAAGAAAGCTGTGTTATGCAGAAGCTGTGCTCAGACACCCTGGGTCAAGTCTCACTTCAGAGCACTGGTATTAAATCTCACCCAACATTGAATTTTTCTGGCCTTTGGTGGACACATAATTACTTCACTTTATTCTAGTGGGAATAGAAATGGAATGGACAACAAGATCTCTTCTATTCCTATTAGATTGATTGTCAAACTATAATTTGAGATGTTTAAAATTTTGTAGGTTATAAGGTTATAAGGGCTCCATGCTCTTTCCCCATATCTTGCTTGGTTCATCTCTTCCATCTGACTATTCCTGAATTATATCCTTTTACAATAAACTGGTAATCTAGTAAGTAATATGTTTCTCTGAGTTCTGTGAGCCCTTGTTTCAAACTGATTGAGCCCAGGGAGGGGGTTGTGGAAACTTCTTACTTAATGACAGGCAGAAGCATAGATAATAACCTGGGCTTGTGACTGGCCTCAGAAGGAATAAGGGGCAGTCTTGTGCGATTGAGTTCTTAACCTAAAATCTGATGCTGTCTTTAGGTAGATAATGTCAGAATTGAGTTGAATTGTAGGATACTCAGCTTGTGCTTGAATATCATTTGTTTGTTTGGAGAAAACCACACCTTCCCCCATTTGGGTCCAGGAACCCAATTATAATACAGTTATATTGATTCTATATTAATAATAATGATAATAACAACTTAATTCAAAATAATTTTTAAAATTTATAAGGCTTTATGGTCAAAAGGAAAAATTTAAATTTATGTGCATATTTTGATACAGAGAAATAGGACAATCAACAAAGGAATTTCAAGCATATAAATATGTTACAGTAAGAAAATGCTGAGAGGAAAATGGAATGGAAATACAAGTTTCAGGAGAAAAAAGAAAGATATAAAATAACTGTGTTCACATTTGTATAAATGGATGCTCAGAGGCTTCAATAGTTATTGCACTTAGATACTTTGGGGTATAAAGCTGTGATATTACTTTTATAATGCCAGTGCTTATGGTGCACTGGATATAACATTCTTTCAACTAATGAAAATTATGATGAAAAAATTTAGGTGTCGACTTGGGTAAAATTTAATACATAGTATAAAGAAATTGTTTTAGGAAATACATGAGGAAAAAAAATGCAAAAACCACTATTCTAAGTTTTATAAAATGTCTTATGACATTCTCTGTATGCAATGTCTTCCTCTTTTTATTTTTTATTTTATTTTTAAAAAGATTTTATGTATGTATGTATGTATTTATGTATGTATGTATTTAGAGAACATAAGGGGGGTTAGGGGAAGAGGGAGAGAGAGAATCTCAAGCAGACTCAACACTGGGTGCAGAGCCCAAATGGGGGCTGGATCTCAAGACCCGAGGACCATGACCCAAGCAGAAATCAAGAGCCAGTTACTCAACCGACTGAACTACCCAAGTGCCCCTGTCTTCCTGTTTTTAAAGTGTAGCACACAGACAGAATTATATCTACAGCAAGCAATTTGATCTTACTGCAGCTAAAAATCTGTGCTGGGGACAGATAGTAGTGTGGGGACAATTAGAAGAAAAACGAGTATGGCAGGAAACTCTCCTAGTTCAAAGCTTACAGAGAGAGAGTGCATTAAACTATAGGGAAGTTTGGTCAATATGACCACATGCTGATAGAATTTAACTTGGAGACTAAGAAAAAGTGAATATCCTGTTAGTAAAATGACCTTTAAAAAATATTTTAATACCTTGGAACTAATTGAAAATAATCCATGGAAACAAGATAGAAGAGCAAAGTAGTTGAAGAGTTGGACATTTATTTAGGGAAAGATGTTTGAGAAGGCTATTTGCATTCACAAAAAGATCCAGGAGGTAAGTGTAGGTAGGAAGGAGGTGAGAAAATTTGTCTGAGGAATCAAGATATACTAGGAATATATCTAGAAGTAGACTCCAGGTTAGATTCCTAAGGAGGAGAACATGAAACAAGAAAAACAGATGCATTTTGTGGATGACAAAGGGGTGAAAAAATATATGGGAAATATCTTTTTATTATTGTGTTGAAAAAAAAATAAAGACCTTAAATGATAATCAGAAATGATGGCAAATTAATCAATTAACTTCCAGTTTTATTGAGACTTAATTGACATATAACATTGTCTTAGTGTTTTTTTTTTTTTTTAAGATTTACTCCATTTATTTGAGAGAGAGAGAGTGAGCAGGGCGAGTGAGAGGGCCTCAAGAAAATTCCCCACTGAGCACAGAGCCAGACATAGCCCTTGATCCTAGGACCCTGAGATCATGATCTGAATCAAAATCTAGACTAGGCTGCTTGACTGACTGAGCCACCCAGGTGCTCCAACATCATCTTAGTTTTAAGTATACAACATAATGATTTCATATATGTATATGTTATTAAATGATTACCAGTGCAATATAATGATTTTATATATATATTTAATAACATATATATGTTATTAAATTATTACCACAATTTAATTACCATTTAATGATTAGCTGCTGCCTGGGTAGCTCAGTTGGTTAAGCATTGGACCCTTGATTTCAGCTCAGGTCATGATCTCAGAGTCTTGAGATCAAGCCCTGCATCAGGCTTCATGGTCAGTGCAGAGTCTGCTTGAGATTCTCTCTCTTCCTCTGCCCCTCCCCCTGCTCATGCATGCTCTCTCTCTGTCTTTAAAATAAATAAATAAATCTTCTAAAAAAACCCAATTACCACAATAAGTTTAGTTAACATCCATCACCTCAAATATTTATGAATTTTTTCTTGTGTTGAGAACTTTAAGTTCTTTTTTTTAGTTTAAAGTAAATTGGTTAATACATTTAAAAAGATCTCTCTTAGCAACTTTCAGATATACAATGCAGTATTGTTAATTATAGTTACCATGCTATACATTACATCTCCAGAACTTATTTATCTTATAACTGGAAGTCTGTGCCTTTTAACCACCTTCATCTATCTACCAATAGATCTACCAATCTATTCTCTGTTTTTATGAGTTTGGGTTTTGGTTTTTTGTCTTTTTAGATTTTACATATAAGTGAGATGACAGTGATTTTTTTTTCTTCTGTCTTATCTCACTTAGCATTCATGCCCTCATAGTCCATTCATGTTGTGCAAATGGTAAGATTTCCTTCTTTTCTATAGCTGAGTAGTATTCCATTATATATACTACATATTCTTTATTCATTCCTCTGTCAGTTGATACTTAGGTCATGTACATGCATGGCTAATGTAAATAATGCTGCTGTGAATATGGGATGCAAATACCTCTTTGAGGTAGTGATTTCATTTCTTTCATATACATTACCAGATGTGAAACAGCGAACTTAGATTGCTTTCTTTTTGGCCTATGATAACATATTGATGTGATGTAATGAAACTATTTTATCTTCCATGTTATTTATATACCAAACAAGTAATGAATAACTAGTTTGCAAGGCTCTCTACTAGATTTCAGGGGGTATTTGAGTAGATACAACCTTGTCTCTGCCTATACATTATTTAAACTATCAAAGTAAAACACCAAAACACATAAATGTCTATGAAAGCAGGTAACATGTTATGATACAAACAAGAGGAGCAATCTTCAACTTGGGTAGAGAGGGAAGAATTTAATTTACTCCTTCTTTTTACAAATATTCATGTCCACAGTACACAGCAGCCCTGACAGGAGCTGGGATGCAGCAGTGACAGTGAGGGACCCAGTCCCCATCCTCCTGGTCATGCTGATTGCGCAGAGGAATGTTATGTCACCTTGGTGCTAGTGGCTTGCAGTTTGAGGCAGAAATACTTTTTCCTCATTTGCATGCATTTTTCTATTATTTTGAATTGGTCTTTTGGTAGTTCCTAGCGCCTCATACTTTCACTGCCTAATTAATTAGACAGTTAATTCAACTTGTCTTAGCATGGCATTCAAGGCCTTTTGTACTGTGGCCCCAACTCCCCTCCAGATTTGCCTCCCAATACCCTCCCCCACACCTTCTATTTATTTCATTTCCTTGTCATATCATGCTTTGCTTCCAGAAGTATCCCCCTTTATTTTAGACCTCGTTCCTTTGTTCCTGTTGCTTATTTTGTCTGGAATGCACCTTTTTCTTTTTTGACCTTGCATACATGTTTCCTTCACTTCTGCTTCCTGAAATTCTCCTAATCTGTTTCAATCTCAGTTAACAGGTCATCTCTTCCATGAAACCCTCCAGATCTTCCAGTCAAAATTATTCCTTTCCTTTTTATTTTCTCATGGAACTTAGTTTCCTTTATGATGTATGCGATTTCCAGGTAGCTTGACTTCCCATCAGATCTTAAACTCCTTGAACAGCATTTGACAAATAGGAGGCACTTAAAAAAAATATTTGTTCACTGGAATAGAGCACTAGTTATTGGATATGGTGGTGTTCACTAATTGAATCACAGTGTATGCCTTCTGTAGACATTTTGTGGTTGACTGCTGGTACCTTGATTTTCAGGAAATTGATCCACTCCTAAGGACTCCAGAAGAACATGGGATACAGGGTAAGTGTTCAATACATGCTTGGTACTTATATTTGAATGTATAGATGTGGCTGAAGGGGCCAGATGAACAGCTCCTTTTCAGTGCATTTACTCACATGGTAGTTGGTTTTCAATCTGGCATTAGTGTTAGCACCTCCAACACTCTTTCCTCCTCTGAGTCTCTGCTCCAAGGATGCTATATTTTTTATGGCAGTGTGCATCGGACTGGCACATTCTGCTGCTACTGAGGTTTTCTAGTAGTGCCTACCAGGATGTGAGGTGACAAGTGGAGCTTTGGGGTACTATTAAAGCATGAGCTGTGCTTGCCCAGTTTGTGATTTCCTCATTCTGGCTTACCACCCAGGAGCACTTATAAGTCATGCTGTTATCTGTGTTTTGTATATCCACATTTGCAGTGATGAGTGTTCATCCAGGCCCAGACACCTGGCTTTACTCTAAGACATTGATGCTCATGAGCCTAGTTCTATGTTTTACCTTCAGGAAGCCTTGCAGGTGATGCTGAGCTCAGCGCTCAAGGAGCCTATGTGTAGATGGAACATATCTGGGCCTCACAGCTGCTCTGCTCATAATCATTGCTTTCCAGACTGTGAGTCAGAGCTGGTGTGAGTCTTAACACCATGGCAAAACCACACTTCCCTTGCCTGTCTCCTTTAAATCATGCCAGCCTTCTTGATTTTGTAGTTCCTCTCAGATTCAGGATGAATGGCCAATGTGTATTCTACAGCAGTACCATGGCAGTGGCTTCAGCTCTCTGCTCCAGTGACAATATTCAGCTATGTCCAGGGTTTTCCTGGTTGTACCAAATATCTATTGATGGATTAGAAACTACCCTAAAACTTAGTGGCTTAAAATATTTTATTATTATTACTGTATCTATGATTCTCTGAATCAGGAAATCAGGGCATGGGAGGCATGAGGCCTCTCTGCTCCATGTTGCTTGGAGATTCATCTGTGATCCTTCAAATAGTGGGAGGCTAGAACAACTGAAAGTGGCAAGGCATAGTTGGTCTTCTTACATGGCGATTCAGGGCTCTACAGGTTAGTGTTTTAAGATAGAGGAAATGGAAGCTGCTAGTCTTTTGCAGTCTGGAACTGGCAACTGGCACTGGTTTCATTGTTTTCATTTGGTTGTGAGTCACAGAGCCAGCCCAGACTCAAGGATTGAATGCTTGGGGAAATTGGCTCGAGGGGTCTCTTTGTAGATAAGCTTTCCCCATCAGTATAGGGTGATATAGAATTTTTCTGTACATGTGACTAGGTATCAATACAAATGTATGCATATAATTAACTTTATATAGATTCATAGTTAATAGATTTATTAGATAATCTAATGAAGCTAACTAAAACCAACATCCATTTAAGCCTTAAGTTAATAAGACAATATTCACAAGCTATACAAGGAAACTTGTATGAGATCATTGGTTGTGGCACCACCCCTGTAGTCTGAAAGGGAGTAGAGGAGAGAAAGCCCCTGATATTTATCGAGCACTTCCAATTTATCCTGTGATTTTTAAATATTTTATCCTATTTAATACACAATTATACAAGGTTTCTTATATTTATAGATAAGAAAACCAGGTAGATGATTGCAAAAATGACCACATATCCTTCCCTTACCATGAAGAGGGGGATTCTGTTTCTCTAGCCGTTGGGTTTGTGCTGGACTTGTACCCTACCTTGCCTCATAGAATGCAGTGGTAGTAGCAATGGGGAAGTTCTGAGCCTGGGTTACAAGAGGTTTTGCCCATTTGTTCCTACTCTTTGAACCTTGTCACTACCATGGGAATAAGCCCAGGTCACCCATTGAAAGATGAGAGGAGGAGAGACCAACTGATGCAAAGATGAGCTGTCCTAGTTGAGGCCCCCGACATGTGAGAGAGGGTAGCTAAAATTAGCAGTGGACTGCAGATGCCTGGGTGAGCCCAGAAGAGACAGAAGAGCCACCCAACTGAACTATATCCAAATTACTGGCTAACACTATCCTGTGTCAAAAAAAAAAAATTAAGTCACTATGTATGTGTTGGGGTGGTTTATTATTCAGTAAAAGCTTTCTTATCCATGAACTCAGAGAGGTTAAATAAAATTTTATCTATGGGAGGGGGGAAGGTGGCAGTGGAATAGGAGGGGACAGGTTCACCATGTCCCATGAATACAACTAGATAACTATCAAATCATCCTAAATACCTCAGAAATTGACCTGAAGACTGGCGGAACAAACTCCACAAATAAAGATGAGAAGAGACCACATTAAAGAAGATAGGAAGTGTGGGGATGTAGTTTAGAAGAGAAACAGATCCTGACTGCGGCAGGGGAGGATGGGGCTGTGGTTTCAAAGGGGTGAGAGAGAGAGAGGGGAGTATACAGGGAAATATAGAGAACATTTTCCTATAGCCATTGGCTTGAAAAGTGAGAAGGGCTGAATTTGGTGAGTTCTTGCAACCAGAAGGGCTTAAAGCCTGAAGTTTTAAGGGTCAGTGGGCTGGGCTGGGCTCTGGGAGAGTTAGAGAGGGAATCTGGAGGCATCAGGACTGCTCTTGGAAAGAAGGCGGGCAAAACAACCCAGGGATGTAGTGTGGAAACAGCAATCTGAAGAGCATCTGGGACACAGAGTGGGGAGCGTTTGCTCTTCCTGGAGTGTGCCCCTGAGAGACAGTATTCATGGAAAGACCTCTCCAATATCAAGGAGCTGGCCAGCACCATTTCCCTCCCCTGCTCCTCAGCACAAACATGGAGCCAGATGCAGGAACCAGTACAGCATGGGCACTGCTGCCTAACTTGCTTACACTAAGCTCCACCCCCCTGTGCTCCAGTGGGACTCCCTTTCTCAGTCATGCTTACCTCAGTCCCAGCTCAATGCCCCTGCCCCCGCCCCCCCAGAAGACCACCACAATTCTGGTGGAAGTGGTGACAGGTCTCATTTCATAAGCAGATCAGAGCCCACCTTGTTAAAACTTGCCACATTCAGGCCAGGAAACCAAACCTGCCCACAGCAGGCAAAGAGAACCTCTGCAGAAGACTGGCCTGGAAGGATGGAGTACCAAGAACAGAACAGCAGAGCACATGCAGCACCCACTGTAGACACTTAATGAATGCAAGGCCCTGGGCAGTACATGACCTATTTTTCATAAAGCCATTACTTTCAAGAGCAGGAAACATAACTGGCTTTTCTAACACACAGAAGAAGGCAGAAACTTAGATTAAATTCCAAGACAGAGGAACTTATCCCGAATGAAAGACCAAGATAAGGCCACAGCTAGAGATCTAAATGAAACAGATATAAGTAACATGCGTGATGGAGAATTTAAATCAGTGATCATAAGAATACTCATTGGACTTGAGAAAAGAATGGACGACATCAATAAGACCCTTACTACAGAGATAAAAGTTAAAAAGAATCAGAGATGCAGAGTGCAATAAATGAGATTAGAAACATGCTTGATGTAATGAACAGCAGGCTGGAAGAAGCAGAAGGATGAATTAATGACTTAGAAAAAGTAATGGAAAGCAATGAAGCTAAACAAAAGAGAGGAAGAAGAATTATGCAAAATGAAGTAGGCTTAGGAAACTGACACTGTCAAATTTAATAATATTCATATTATAGGAGTCCCAGAAGAAGAAGAGAGAGTTGAGAGAAAATTTATTTGAGGAAATAATAGCTGAAAACTTACCTAATCTGAGGAAGGAAAGAGATATCCAGGTCCAGGAGGCACAGAAAATTCCCATCAAAATGGGCCCCACACCAAAACATATTGTAGTTAAACTGACAAAATATAGTGATAAGGAAAAAAAAATTAAAGTGGCAAGACAAAAGACAGTTAATTATGAAGGAAAGCCCATAAATCTACCAGCAGATTTTTCAGTAGAAACTCTCCAAGCCAGAAGGGACTGACATAATATATTTAAAGTGCTGGTGGGAAAAATCAACAGCCAAGAATACGCTAGCCATCAAAGCTAACATTCAAAATAGAAATAAAGAGTTTCACAGACAAAAAATTAAGAGTTCATGACCATTAAAGCAGGCCTGCAAGGTATACTAAAGAAGACATTGTGAGTGGAAAAGACAGACCAAAAATCACAGTATGGAGGCAGAAAACACAGAAGCAGTAAAAATGAATATTTCTGTAAAAAATCAGTCAAGGAACTCACAAAATAAAAGGATATAAAATATGACACCGTATACCTATAATGTGAGGGAGGCAGGAGTAAAGAATGGGTTCAAACTTAAGTGATGATCAACTTAATATAGATTGCTTTATGCAGAAGATGTTAGATATAACAGTAACCACAAATAAAAAATTATTAATAAATATGCAAAGAATAAAGAGGAGGAAGTCCAAATATATCACTTAAGAAGACCAGCAAACCATGAAAGGTAAGAAAGTATCAGAGAAAACCCAGAAACAATCAGAAAACAAGTAATAAAATGGCAATAAATAAATATCTATCAATTACTTTGAATATAAATGGATTAATGCTCCAATCAAAAGACATAGGGTGTCATAATGGGTGAAAAAAACAAGACCCATCTATATGTTGTCTACAAGAGACTAATTTTAGACCTAAAGACACCTAAAGATTGAAAGTGTGGGGATAGAGAAACATTTATCATGCAAAAGCCAGGGAAGCAACAGTTATATTGGACAAAATAGAATTTAAAACAAAGATTACAATAAGAGACAGAAAAGGGCAGTATATAATAATAAAGGGGACAATCCAACAAGAAGATATAATGATTGTAAATTTTTATGCACTCAACATAGGAGCACCCGAATACATAAAACAGTTAATAACATAAAGATAATAATTGATAATAATACAAAATAGTAGAAGATTTTAACCCCCCACTTACATTGATGGACATATCATCCAAACAGAAAATAAACAAGGGAGTGGTGACTTTGAATGACACACAGGGCCAGATGGATTTAACAGGTGTATCCAGAACATTACATCCTAAAACAGCAGAATACACATTCTTTGCAAGTGCACAAGGGACATTC